TATATAAAGAATTCTAATGATTTATGTGAATTTATCCTATGATCTGCCTCTTTGAAGTTATTATTTTAATTAATTTTTAGTTGGCTTTCTAGAGTTTTCTAAGAGTTGTCTGTAAAAAGTGATAAAAAGTAGGCACTTAATAAATGTTTGTTGACTTGACTCAATTCCTTATGTTGAACCAACCCAATATTCCTGGCATAAAACTAATCTGATCCTAGAATAAAATTTTTCTAATATGTTTTTGGCAGCTATTTGCTAATGTTTTATTTAACATTTTTTTCCATCACTGTTCATTAGGCATAGTGATATGCAGTTTTTTTCTCTCTGCTTTGTCTTTCTCTGTTTTAGGTATCAAGGCCATATTTATATCATAGAAAGAAATGGGAAGTGTGGCTTCTTTTATTTCTTTAGTGTTGGAACCAGTTTTTCCAATGTTGGATAGAATTCACTTGTAAATCCATCTAGTCTTGGAGTTTTGTTGTTTTTATTTCCTTTGGAAATTCATTAATGACTTGTTCAATTTCTTTTTCTTATATTGGATCTTTTGTCAATTTGGATTTTTTTTATGAATATTTGTCTATTTTGTCTAAATTATCAGGTTTTTATGGGCCTATAATTGATCATTTATTTCTTTTTAAATTGTTGTAAGTTCTCCTTTTTTTCTTCCATTTTAAAAATACAATTTGATTTTTTTTCCTCTCTTTTTAAAAATAGGGTTACCTGCCTGTTAATCTATTTTATTATTTTTTAAGCCTACGCCTTTATCATTTAGATGATCTTTGTTTTTAGTTTTATTAATCTTTAATTTTCATAATTTCTATTTCATTATTTAGTTGAATTTGATTAATTTTTTTTTAAATTGCATGCTCAATTCTTTAGTTTACTCTTTCTCTTATTTTTGAAAATATTTAGAGATATAAATTTCCTCTCAGAACTACTTTAGCTGCAGCTGATAAGTTTTGCTATGTTGTTTCCTTATTGTAGTATTCCTTGATGAAATTTTCTGTTTCTAAAATTTGTTTTTTTGGCACATCAATTCTTTAGAATTGTGGTTTGTTTTTATCCCCTAATTATGTTTGCATTATGTCTTAAAGTGTCCTTAATTGAATGTTTTTTAAAAAAAATAACAATAATCTGTAAATGATGTGTTGAGCATTTGTACTTTTCTTCATTTTTTTTGGTGATTTCCTTATGCCCCAGCACATGACCAAGTTTTGTAAAGCTGTTATATTAAAAAAAAAAAGTATATTTCTTTCTGTTCCCATTCAATTAATGCCAGAGATCAATCATCTCTCACCTCTTCTTCTGTGACTGTATTATAATTTTTCTTCTCCATTTATCAATGTAGACTTCACTTCCCCCCATAATAGTTTTTAAACCATCCTGATAATTCTTAAATTTTCTCTCAATCTATTTTCCAGGTTATTTGTTTTTGATATTATATTCCTTAATCTTTTTTTAAATTTTTGGGCTTCATGTTGATATTTCTTGTCAAATTATGTCTTTTTTTTTTTCCTGTCTGACCCATTTTAATTTTGGGGCGTTTGGTTTTAGAGTGAAGTTTTTCATCTTCTGAGGTGTCAGTTTCCCATTTTTTTGGTCATTCTTGCCTTTCTGAATCTTCCGTTCTGTATTTCTTGTTTGATTTCCTCAGGTATTACTGTGGTCTCTTTGGCAAGGCCATTTTTTTTTTTCTCCAAGGCTTTGTCAGAACTTGTTACAAGGTCTTTTTGTGGTTTATGCCTTGGGCATCTCTTACACCAAGTTATTTCTTCAAGGCATTCAGGGCTTTTTTCTTGGTTTGCATGTGGTTGGGGAGTAATGTGGTGGGGGTGGCTTGGGTTAAAGCTCCTCAACTGAATGGTGTGGGCAGGGCCTGCCTGTTACTCTGTATAGTGTGCCAGACTAGATCCCACCTTTAATAGCTTCATGGGCTACTCTAGAATTGAGCTCTTTCTGTGAGCTCCCTTTAGTCATAGGACCCCAGGACTTTTCCTTTGTAGGCTCTGCCTGGATTCCTCCTTCACAGCTGCTAGGCTCAGCGGATACTGTCCCTGTGCTGGGTTCCTGCTATAAGGTTCATGTAATATCCAGGCTGTATTTTTACCTAGAGCTTCCCCTTCCAAAGTTAGACTCAGACCGCTGGTGGATCCTCCCTTAAACTCCCTTGAGGTTGTTCTCTCTACTAGACTAGCCTGCGTTAACTGGTCTTAGGCCTCGTTTGGATTAGGCAAAGAGAAAACCCCAAAGTCACTAGGCTGGGCTTAGGTGCCTCTTAGGCAGCATACATAGGGAGTACTGAAAATTGTCCCCAAGGCTCCAGGGTCTTCCTGCATTGTGTCTTCTGTGCCACTTCTTTAATCTGCCCTGGCTTGTCTATCCCAAGATCTCTGTGGGACTCTGGTGGGTGGGTGGGCAATCTCAGTGGATTCCTAGGTGGAGTGGGAGAGTCTTGAGGTGATTTCTTTCTATCTCTTAATAGATGGAGTATTTGTGGAGAATATGAAATGCTTTTCGTCTTAACATGCCTCTGTCTTCTCACAACCAGCCTTTGTTGCATGTAGTTCATCTTTGTTCTAGGAATCTGTTAGCCCTGTATTTCATTTAAAAAATATATATATTTATTTATTTTTAGTTTTCAACATTCACTTTTATAAGATTTTGAGTTTTAAATGTTCTCTCCCTCCTTCCCCTCTGCCCTCCCCAAGACAGTGTGCAATCTGATATAGGCCATGCATGTATAATTATATTAAACATATTTCCACATTAGTCATGTTGCAGCCTTATATTTTAAACTGAGATCTACATCTCATTTTTAGACATCATCTTATCTACTTGTTTATTCCACAAATTAATTTTTCTCTTTTGCATGCATTACCTTCAGTGGGCAAAAATAAAGAAAACACACCTGTGCCCTTATGGTCTTCAGTTTCTTGCTCAAGAGTTCATAACTGTCAGCAGTACTACTTAATTTCCCTGTGGAGTTATATACTATGACCAAATGAATCACCAGAAGTGAATAATTGTCATCCATTTGCATAAGTCTTAGGAGGTTCTATGTTATGTTTTGGATTCATGCTTCAAGGAGGAGATGGATAAGGAGCAGTCCAACAAAAGGACATGTTAGATTGAGGAGTGTCATGAAAACCTAGAGAAGAAAGGTCCAGAAAAAGAGGATGATCAACTGTGTCAAATGCTTCAGAGAGGTCAAGAAGGATAAAGATTGAGGGGAAAATCCGTTAGATAGGACAGTTAACACGCCATTGGTGACTCTGGAGGGAGAAGTTTCAGTTTTTAACTCTAAAGAGCATTGATTTAGTTCTTATCTAGTAAAAGTGCTCTCCTGGGGTCAGACATCAGGGGTCTGAGATTTAATGTACCTTTCAAATCCCGAAATCTGTGTATAGTCACCTGTAGTGTAATATCCAGCTAGAGTTTTGAAAGGTCAGGAATTTATGAAGTTAGGATGTAATTTTGCAAACTTGAAGTAGTTTTTTTTTTATACATTGCTAAAGATCATGGGGAAAATAACCTTAAATAATATTTTGGTTAAATTATTCCTCTCTTGAGTCCCGAGAGGAAGGAGATTTCTGGTTTAGGCTGTGAGTCAGAGTTCTGACTGATAGAATAAGCCCAATTCATCATTCTGATGGATTATAGTAGTTCACAATTTAGCTTACATCTTAGAGAGAGGCAAGTAAATTTATAGTTAATCATTATATGAAGGGAATGTTGCTCAGCAGTTGTAAACTTGGATGATTTGCTCCATGTTTGGGATGGAGATAGTTACCTCACTGATTCTATTAAGACAAACTTACAGAGACCCTGGGGTCAGTGAATTTTAGGAAAAGAAACATAAGACTGCAAAGGAAAATGACTCCAAGTTAAGGCTGGGAAGGAGGGTTTTTGCTACAATAGCATTGCCAGCTCATTATGAAGTAAGGGGTTTAAGAGTTACCATAATTTCAATGACAGACTACTTAAAGAGTTCATTACATTGGAGTGATATCTTGATAATATGAGGGGAATTACTTCATTTGCAGTTGGCTGCCTAAGAAGAGGCATTATCCAACACAGCATGCTTAGATGTCAGGCAGCTAATGACAGTTATTTTACAAGAATTTAACTGAAATGAAGCTGTGCACAAGGCAACTTCAAAAATAAAGCTGAACTATTGAAAAAAAGGGACTACTGTGTGTCATAACTTTATATTGCTAGGTATTTAACAATGAGAATATGTTCATATAGCCTTCAAATTTTAATTTTATAGAAAAATTCCTTTTTATCTTATGTACTTTCCAGGCATTTAGTTTTCTATCTGTCAAGTGAGCAGGCTGGATTAAATAATCTCTGCCCTTTCCTGCCATGAGTTCTGAAAAAATTAGATCCTGAGAGTTATCCTTTCTTACGTTGAATAAAATTTTCACAATTATCTGTTATGTCGAATCTATTTGGAATGTTATCCATTTTAAAACAGAATACAAAGTTCTGTCTCTTCATTAAAAAAAAATAATATATTTGGTTTTTACCCTGCGCAAATTTCCTGCTATATCCCTTTCCCTTTCCTTTATCAGAGACATCCCTTTTAACAAGGTGCAGTGCAGCAAAACTAAAGTTGGAAATCAGTTTTTTAACAGCTGTTCACATTTGATCTAATGGGAATGGGGGCAAAGGCCCAGCTTAGAGGAGAGAAAAGGAGCTCTCTGGCTCTTGCTAGGCAGCCTCTTGCAAGCATGGGAGGAGACAGAGGCTTTGAGCACAGTAGCTCCCTCTGGTAGCTGGTTCTGTTCCAACTCTAGCAGCTGCATAAAGGGGCAAAGGTGGGTAGCATCTAGCTGTTTACATTTTTTTTTTTTTTGGGCAAGGGAGGAGGAGTTGAACAATGAGAATTTTGTCTTCAACAGGAGAAATGATTAAAATTGTGAATTGATAGCCATTGAAAAAAGAGTTTTTCAAATAAAAATCCCTGAGAGGTAAAAATATATTTTCTTATGTTATAGAAGGACAACTGGAACATGGGAAGGCTCTGAGTTACATAATTCCTTATGATGAATCCGAAAGAACTGCATGTAATTCTTCGGTTTTCTTTCTAGTTTGTTATCTCATTAATTAACTTATTTCAAAGGTTTCTAGCCAGTAAAGCAAACTTGTTGCTTGTGGAAACATTTTTTGTTCTTTCTCTTCTAGTAAATTTAGCTGCTGAACGGGAGACGTGGTCTTGGGATCAATACTTAAAGGAACAGAATGCTGTAGCAGCCCCTGCTCAACTCTTTTCTAGGGTAAGTTGTTCCATATGATATTATTATTATTATTTTTTAAATCCATGGAGGAACTTCTTAAAGCAAATTCACACTATATAGACTAAGTGGGAACTGAGGTTTAAGTGACTTGCTTGTATGTAAACAACCGTTCATCCTCTTCTCACAGAAGAAATACAGATTGGAAAGTTTGCTACTTGTGATTATGAAAGGTTGGGTGTGGGGGGGCAGAAAGAATCATCCCAAATAGGAGAGAATACCTCTGTTTTGTTTGTTCTCACCCTGCTTTGTGCATCTCCCATCCAAATATGGTTTTGTCTTGGTGAGTGGGGTTATAGAAGCTGGTGGACAAGATTCGGTGTTGAAAGGCACTGAATAAAATCCCTGATGTCTATGTCATAAATGACCTTAGCAGCTGCTAATTTAGAGTGGACACAACGTGAGCGTATCTTCATAGACCGATTTGTATTTTCTTCCTCGATTTGAGGTTCACAGACATAATCTGGCCCTAAAGGCACCAGCTTCTCTGACGCTTTCCTCCCCATCTCACTGTCCTAGTGCCATCATAAACTGGCATCTGATATGTTAACAACTCCCATCTTCTTGAAACTGTTGCGTAAAACACATGGCTTCCGATTCTAATTTGTTTCATGTTATTCCTCAACCATTTAATCTCTAACTTTAGGCCAGCCTCTTTACTGTTGTCTGAAAATGCCATGCTATTCCTACGTCATTCCTTCGCTTACATAGTTATTTTTTTCACCTGCAGCATTTATCCAAATCCTGCCCATCCTTTGAGACTCAGCTCTGATCATACCTTAGCCATGGAGCCTTGCCTCTCTCTGGGCACATCAGCCAGGTGGCACAGTGAAAAGAGTTCTGATCCTAGAGACGGGAAGATCTGAGTTCAAATTTGGCTGAAGATACTTAGGTACTTTGGCTTGTAGATACTGTGTGGTCTTGAGCAAGTCATGTAAAGCTCTGTCTACCTCAGTTTCCTTATTTGTAAAATGTACAGAGTAATATCGCCTACTTCCCAGGGTTGTTATGAGGACCAGATGAGATATTTCCCAAGTGCTTTGCAAACCTTAAAGTGATATGTAGATGCTAACTATTATTATCATCTCCTTCTTTGAACTACTGTTGGTATTTTTAGACATTAACACTTCATTATATACCATCTGGTTCCCTATTGTTTCAAATGTATTGCTTGTCTTTTCAATGAAATCACAAGTTTCTTGATGGGCAGGACCATGTGCTGTACTATTTTTACATTGCCAGCACAATGCTTAGTATGTAGTACACACTTAATAAATTCTTGTTTATTGATTAACTTGAATTTTTGAACCTTGAGCTAGAAGCAGCTTGCCATTTTGGTTCCCTTGTGTAATAAAGGATACAGTATATTTAAAAATTCAGCACTTGTAGTAGAATGTAAGATTCTTAAGAGAGGGGATTTTTTTGTTTTTGTCTTTGTATTTCCAGTCTGACCTTGCTATAGGGCATGGCACACTGTTCATACTTAATATAGTTTTGTTGAACTGGTTTGGATTTCATTGCACCAGCTTTATAAGTGTGATCTTTTATCAAAGGTCAGGCACGCCGCAGCAACCATATAGAAGTCCCCCCTATTGGTAGGATACTTTGTAGTTAACTCTAGACTACTGTTTTATTCTCTGCCTAGAGATTAGTTATCACCCATAGGACTAAGGTCACTCACTTCATAGGTTTGAAGACCTCCAAGGGCAGAAGCCATTTTTAGTTTGTTCATAACAAGTATCAAGACTTGGAATGAATACTGTGTACCTAGTACTTAATTCTTTTCTGTCAGGTCTATAGAGACTTTAGAAAGCTCTTAGACCATCCTAGTGGTTTGGTTTTAACTGACAGAGATGTGGCAAATCTGCCATATATACTTCTTCTCCTTAGTGCCAAGGCATGGGAAGCAATAGGGCATTTCGAAAAGAGCTGTTACCTGTTTTTTCTATTTATGTGATAATTCCTTCTCAGTCTTCTTTGCTAGGCCATCTTCCTACTGCCTCTTAAATGTGAGTCTTCCTCCCACTACCCTACTCTTCTCAGAGGTCCCTGTTGACTTAGTCTTACTCTCTTTTTACATTTTAGCTTTTGTTGAATGATCATCCAACTCTTGCACCTAGAATCTGGACGTTCCCCTTGGCTTGTTCTCTCTGGGTTCCCTTTTTCATTATATATTTTCTCCGTTAGTGATTTTTATGTGCTCCCATAGCTTCAGTTTTCATCTCCAAATAACTGTCTGTCTGTGTGTCTATCTATCTATCTCTATCATCCGTCCATCCATCCAGTATCTCTTCTGATTTTTCACCTGATCATCACCACCTGACTGCTAGACATCCTCAACCTGCACATTCTATCATCACCTTAATCTCAGCATATTATAAATAAAACTTATGTTCTTTCTCCCTACTCCTACTCTTCCTCCAGACTTCTTGCCACCATAATTCAAGTTCATAATCATGAATTCATCTCCCTTATCCAACTAATTAGCCAGATTTGCCAATTCTACCTCCATAATCTCTCCCATCTGTTTCCATATCCTCACGTAGCCAGCTTTCTAGTTATTCATCATTATTAGAGATTTACATTTGGAAGGAACATTAGAGATCTTGTAGTCTAATCCTGTTATTTTACAGGTGAGGTAACTGAAACCCAAAAAAGTTCAGTACCTTGCCCAAGACCACACAGGTAGGACAATGGGAGAGACAGGATTCAGGCCAAGTTTCTCTAACTCCAATTCCAGAATTATTTCCATTGTACCATATTGTCTTCCCTTTCTCAATGCCTTTTTGCAAGAGCTCCTCATTCTCCACCCTTCCTTCAGTCTTTAATTTTCTAGTCAATCTTCTGTACTGCTTCTAAGATAATCTTAAGATAGACCATAAGGTTATAATGATGATCAACTGGGAACTATTGTGTGAGTGATATACTGCTTGATTTATGATTCTTTGAATGGTGTCTTTTCTTGGATATCTCTTCACCCACAATCCCCTAATAGGCTCTCTGTTGCCTCTTGAATAAAAAGTGATTTTAGGTGCATTGCCCATCCTATTGCATCATATTTTTCCACTGCTCTCATATGGACCCTTAGTGGTGCTGGAGCTGGTGTTAGAGGATCTGAGTTCTAATCCTGGCTCTGCCTCTTATTACCTGTATGACCTTGAGTTAGTCACCTCTCTGGGCTTCATTCAGTTTCCTCATCTGTAACAGATGACTTGGAACAGATTGACTTCAGAGGTTCCTGCCAGCTCAAAATCTGTGATTCTAATTCTATTCTTTGAGGCATGCTGGTTCCCCAGTCCTAGCTTTTCACTTTCTCTTGTTTTCTTCAAAGACTGTCCATCTCTTGATGGCCCAGCTCCATAAGTATTTATTGACCACCTTTGCAGAATTCTGTGGGAGAGATAGAAGGTGGAATTATTTCTTTTCCTAGTCCTTCAGTTTTTCTTTATTCAGATTGCTTTCTTTTTGCACCATACGTTCTATCACTAAGTAATAGTCCCAACTCTGGGCTCAGAGCTTCGTTAGATCTTGAGGATATGATGTATAAGACAGGACCAGGCGAGCAAAAGACATTCAGCTGGGGGTATGCAGAGACCATCAGTTGAAATGGGGATAATGGCTAAAAGCCAGGAAGATAGGAGAGCAGAAGTGGGCTCTAAGTGTCAGAGACAAGGACATTTTGAACTGAGGCAAGAAAACTTATGTAAGTCATCATGAGTTGTGGTAAGAACTTATTGTTGGCTTCCTAGGGTCTTGTGAGGCTAAGACAGGGATGGCGACCACGTGTGGCCCTCTAAGTCCTCAAGTGCTGCTCTTTGACTGAATCCAAACTTCACAAAACAAATTCCCTTAATAAAAGGATTTGTTCTGTGAAATTTGGATTCAGTCAAAAGGCCGCACCCAACGACCTAGAAGGCCACACATGGCTTCAAGGCTGATGGTTCCCCACCCCTGGGCTAAAGCCTAGGGCTGAAAAGTAGATTCAGGATAAAGACTCACTAGATTTAGCAAATACTAATATTTATTTAGCTAGTGGTTAGGTGGATAGAGTGCTGGGCCTGGAGTCAAGAAGACCTAAGGTCAAATATGGCCTCAGACATTAACTAGCAGTGTGACCCTGGGCAAGTCACTTAACCTCTGTTTGCCTAATCCGCTGGAGAAGGAAATGGCAAACTGCCCCAATATCTTTGCCAAGAAAACCTCCTACGGGTTCATGAAGAGTCTGCCACAAGTGAACAACTGAACGACAATATGTATTCTGTAATATCTTGTTTGTTGTTTAGTTGCTATTCAGTTGCGTCTAGTTCATTGTGACCTCATTTGGGAGCTTCTTGGCAAAGATGCCAGAATGGTTTGCCATTTCCTTCTCCAGCTCATTTGACAGATGAGGAAACTGAGGCAAACAGGGTTAAGTGACTTGTCCAGGGTCACGCAGCTGGTAAGTATCTGAGGCTGAATTTTAACTCGGGTCTTCCTGACTTCCTGGCTTTTATTCGCTGTGCCACCTAGCTGCCCCTCCATATTTTGTTTGCCAGTGAAATTGTAAGCTCCTTAAAGCTTACATATATGATTAACTATTATAATGCTACAGGCATAGGAAATCCATATCATCTCTGTGCAGCTGATAAATTGTACACATCATGTATACGTATAGGTGTGTCTGTACATGTATGTGTTTGTGTATGTATGTGTGTATGTATGTATATATGTATTTATGCATGCGTGCATTCATTCAGCCTCCATCTATCTATCTCAGAGTTGGTGCTGATCTCCATGGGTAGCAAGATTCTGAAATCAGAAATTCTCCTACGCCGGTGCAATCATAGGCCTGCCTTTTTTACTTCTCTCTCCAAAGAACATTTATGATGTAAACTGGGAGTAGCTAGTGGTGCAGTAGATAGAGTATATAGGCCTGAAGTCAGAAATACCTGAGTTCAAATTAGTCTTCAGACATTGACCAGCTGTGTGACCCTGGGCAAGTC